TGTGTACTGAGGTATGACCAGATGAATCTATCCAATTATATACACACCTCCACTGCATCTTAGCTCCTCAAACGATCTACAATAAACACACTAATACAAGATCTTTTTGCAGATGCTGTATGAGAGTTCCCACAATCTGGGATGAAGAGGAGCAATACCAGTAAGTGGTGATGAAGCAGGTCGCTTCAGCTGGTGTCACAGCACCTGTGACGCTACTTGTAGTCTTTTCACCTGGAAATCATTGAAACATCGCAATGCTGTCAGGGACCTACGCTAAACTTCATTTGCTCTCTTTCAGACAAAACCTTGAAGTCTCATCTGCCGCCGAAGCTCCTTCCCCCTCTGCCCTGCAACCCGCAGTCTCTGCCTTACCCTGCTCTGTGCCCCCCCTGACTCGCGCTAGCCCGTGCCAGGGACTGGGGCAGCTGCAGCAGCCCTTGCAGCTGGCACCCCAAGGAACGATACAACCATAAGAAACCTTGCATCCCCTGACCCCTTTCTTCCCCTGGAAAATAATTTGACTTTTGGCATCACACAAATACTTCCTGTCAAGCGAGACAAGAGAAACCCCACTGAAGCAGCGTGGGAGGCAGCATGATCTTGCCTGCTGGTTTTTTTTTTTTTCCCTTTTCTCCTCTCTCTGCTTTCCAGTGTATCAAGCAGAAGCTACAGCACACCAGAATGGAGAATGGCACTTCTGTTTCAGCCACCTCTTTTCTCCTGCCGCCTCCCCACTGAGCCCCTCGGAGGGCAGCTGCAGGCTTCCCACTCCCCTGCCTTCGTCTCGTTCCAAATTCTTTCCTGCCAGCAATCCTTGCCCCGTCCTCTGCATTGTTAACATTTCCTATTGCTTACTTTTAAAAGCTGCCTGCTTCTCCATTGCCTAGTACCCGCAACTAACCCAAGCGTCTTGCTGCAGGGGTTAAAAACCAGCCAGAAGTTTGGCATTTTGTAAGTAAATCAAAATTAGGGGGAGAAAGGGACAATTACTAGTTTAGTCTATGGAGCTGGCCAGCTTTCAGATGCATGGGGAAAAATATTTATGGGGATGAGAAAGAAGATGAACGTTTTTAATAGGAATACATTTTCTATTTACTAACAGAGAAGATACTGGAGCTGATGCAACCCCTCCTTGCCCTACTGGTAAGGAAGCTTTTAGAAACAATGCTGAGTTTAACTGCAGAAATGTGGGGGTCTGCTTCAGTATTAGGTACATCAGTTCTGGTACAACTCCAGTGAAAAAACAACTTAAAACATGTTAAAAAAAAAAAAGAAGAAAAAAAAGCAAGTGCTTTTAATCATGGGATACTAAACAACCAGTGCCCCTGCATGATCTTATATATTTTTATACAACTGCAAATACTTTTCTTTATCTATAATTCTACTTTTTGGTCATTTTTTCACTTGTGTCTGCTTTTTTTGCCATTTATGACTTCAGTCCTTCAACAAAAAGCCACAAGTTTTGCAATAACTATACCACTTTGTTTCTGGTCTTTCTAACCCCTTTCTGGTGAGGCAGCCTGTTTTCTTTATGGGTTTTTTTCATGAACTGAGGCTCAGGAAATTCTCATATGATGTGCATCTCAGGGGAAGGGGCATCTCTGTTTATCTACAGGATGGAAATTGTTTAGCCTTTGTGGTTTCTGAAAGATGTTTGTAGACAACACGGAGCTCAAAATACAGCCTAATCCACAGTGAAATATTAGTTCTCCTTTCCTGTCAGCTTTCCTAAACCAAGATTTCGCCTTGTCTGTGAACATTCCCTTGAAGAGGGCAGCTTGGATGGCTTCCACATCCTAACTCTTTGATTTGTGGCAGCTAAGATCAAGTGGGAATAGAGGTTGTTACAGTAATCCATCAGTGGTATAACACATGCAGGAACATCCCAAGGAGGGAGACCTTGGGCGTCACGCAGAAGGTTAAGGCTATAATTTCTCTTAATGTGATTTTGTCTGGCCTTTTCAGAATTTCGTCCACTTTGGGCAGGGCCACTAGATCAGCAAACCACAGACTGAAAGCCTCTGCTCAGTTTTGTATGCTCTTAGACCTAAAAATTTTTCATAAGTGACAGCATTAGGTTAAGCTTTCTTCCACTTTCTAAGACTGAAAAATAGAAATAGAAGATTCACTTGAGAGTACACCATACATGGTGGTGTGGATTTTGGAAAACAAGGACTCTTCTCTTTTATGGTGATTTTAATTTTAGTGATTAATTTGGTCCCAATCTAAAAAAAAAGTGAAATAACTTTTTAACAAAGAGAAAAAGCAGGAAACGAGAAACCAATACACCTAAATGTTAAGAGATGAAGAATCACTCCAAGAAAAAAAAACATTAAAAAAATTTTTAAACCTTCCAAACATGAGAAACCAACCTCAGTGAAGGCAATAAAACAGAGCCTAAACATAGGCTGTACAAGAGGAAAATTAGGAGAACAGAGATGGAATCCAAAGAGCAAATATCTAAGGATATAAAACAAAAGCCACAAATTCCTTTATGGTATCCAAAAAAATGAAAATATGTAGGAGGTCCTGGATCACTGGCGATGAAAGAAAGAGAGGAAGACAAAAGTCAGGGAAGGGAAGCAAGATGACTTCTTTTCATCCAACTTCACCACAGAGGACGTTGGGGAGAAACCTATTCTGGTACCTGCTTTTATTTTTCTGTGTTTTAATAGATGTGAACTAATAGCAAGCTTCGAATACTTGCTAGCAGAAACAAATGTGTTGGAGGAGGATGAAAGCTTTCAAAGAAGTAAACAAGCAGAAGACAAGAATTCTGACAGCAATTAAAATAAAAAAAATTGAGCCACTGGCTAAAGTGAGTATGCTTTCACTACACTTAGTAACTTAAACAATCAGAGGAGAGCAAAAGTTTCGCCTATCTTTACAAAAGCAGTAAGGTTGATTCAGGAGACTGTAGAGCTCCAGGCTTTATTACTATACCTGGTAACCTAGCTGAAAGGATGAATAACAGGAAATTAAATCCACCAAAATAATCACCAAGTTATGAATATGTTTATAAAATAGTGGACAGATAAGAGCAAGTAAAGAAAATTAGACCTTCGAAATCTTTACAAGAACTTCATGGGAGACGACCTGTGAAGTGTGATGTTGAGACGGCAGAAGAAAAGAAGGAATACATATTGATTCTTATCTGATCACAGGTTTAACAGCAGGTGTCTCATGGTTTGTACTCTGTATTTCAAAATTATCTGAGAACAAGGAAGCACACTGAGAGGGTAAATTCTACAGGTGGCAAGAAATTATTCAGATTAGTCCTGATTTAAGATTATTAGGGAGTTGTGAGAGATAATCAGTAAATCTGCTTCAGCAGATCATGGTCATTACTGTAGATTGCAATGAAGTGCACGCTGCAGGCAGTATCGAACTCCTTTGCGCATCGGGCTGAGTACTGAATCACCCGATCAGCCCAGGAGACTGCCTGGATGTCCTTGTGAACAGCCCAGAGACAACTGGTGTCAAAAAGATAACAACAGTCAAAAACCACAAAGAAAACCTCAGGACATCTAACAAAAGATAGCATAAGCAGAACGGACAAATGTAGTAGGCACAGAACACTTATAAGGAGGGGCTGGAATGCTGTTTGCTGTCCTTTAACCCATTCTAAAAGGTAAGATGGAGAAAAAGTGTGGAAATGGTCTCAAAAAAAAGGTGAAGAAGGATTATTTGAGACTTGGACAAGGATCTGAGCAGTCTGGTTTATTTGGTCTTGCACTGAAAAGGCTGATGGACCAGATGACCTTCAGAGGTCCTTTCCAACCTGTTATTCTATGAGATAGAAAGAGAATAAAAAGTTTTGACTGTTCAATATATTCAGACAGTAAATCCTGAAATTGGCAAATTCAACAGCAGACAAAATTAGATTATGAATTCATTGTCACAAGAGCTGCGCTAGGAGCCAAAATAAGATTTCATTTTTGCAGTTTTTTAAAAACTGTATTATACAGGGTCCCCCTCAATATCCAAACAAGGTGGCTTTTGGAAAAGAAATCATTCCTCCATTTGATGAATATAATGAGTATTATGGCTCACAAAATAAAATTTTTTAGGAGAGATCTTCTTCCTCCTTTGACACTTCTTGTGCTCTCAAGCAGCTGATATTGGCCACTCCCTGAATCAAGAAACTGGACTAGACGGATTTAGTATTATCTGCCGTAATTATTTCCATTTTCACATGAGACATGACTCCAAACCAGAATTTTCATGTTTGGTAACTCCTGATGACATTCTGTCATGTTTACTCCATTAATCAAGAAATGTACTGGTTTTAAGGGTCATCCATGAAATTCCACACTCTGAGAGCTCCAAGAGTGAGGTTACAGGGTTTCTATCATGCCTGCTAGCAGCAGTAATAAATAACCTGCATAGCATAATTGAACCACTGACCAGACCTAAGCATTAGCCAAGGGATTACCACTTTTTAAAAAGAGGTGCTGCTACAAGTTTCCTTTATTTCTATTTATATTCACTAACTCCTAATATTCAAATTTATTGTCAGGAGGAGGACAGAAAAGGAGGTAAACAAAATATTCAAGGACACTTTCATTGTGGAAACAATTTTATTACCCAAAAAGGTCATTCCTTCCATTGACCTTAAAATACAACCAGGCATCTGCCTTAAAAAAGATTCCCCCAAACCACAGAATAAATATACTTGAGGATAGTGGTCAAATAAAGTTTTAACCTGAAAACAGTTTCTAATAGTTATATACATTAATAATGTATATAATGTGAAAATGGCTGTTATAACGTGGCTGCATATTAGTGCATTGATGAGGAAACCACCTGACAGAGATGAAGCTCAGAAAAGAGAGTAGTGGCATCTTTGAAATTCAGTGGGAATGACACAACAAATCCACATTCACACAAGGTGCTGTGACCAGGGAGGAACAGAATCAAAGAATAAAATGAAATCTTAAATATTTCACTTTAAAGACGGTTTTTAAAAACATATATATTTATTTACCCACTGGACATACCTTGGCTGACCTAGTGATGGCCCCGATCTCTGAATAAAGATCAGTGCTGTCTGGGAACTTCTCCACCACCATAGTGCAGACGTGATGCAGGAGGGACTGCTTGTGCACCGTGTCCTTGACTTCTGGAACCTTCTCGAGGTAGCTCAACTCAAAAGCTTTGGCCTGTGAGGGGGAAAAAGGGAAGAAATTAAAACCAAACATTTTTACTCCTTTCCATGCAAGTTAGTAGACAAAACTGATTAACAAGTAGGTGAAGAGGGGAAAAATGCAGAAGAATCATCCTACAGAATAAACATATTGCCTTCATTTATTTTTAACTTGCTGAAGAGTAGGCCTAAAATCATTCAATCTGCAGTGAAATGACTCTTGACACAGTTCTCATAATTTGAATGGGGAACATCAACACTAAACTCAAGGGAGTTACATCAGAAGAGTGCCCGGCTCCACGTTTCCTTCAGGTTATGCTGAAAAAGGCAAAGAGCACCCTGACACACAATAAAAAATAGGTTCTGTTTTCTAAATTATTTTTCTGGTACAAAATAAATACTGGGTTGCAACTGTCATAATGGTTTTGAATTTTGGTTTTTGAAGGAAAAAGCTGCAGGGGAAATGCTGGGACATCAGGCTTACATTGGTTCCATTCAGAAAGTTCCCAATGGCTAGCAGAGTAGAAAGGATAAATCCCAAAGTTTTATTGTGCTCCAGTTGGTCCATTCCTTCCTTCAGGTCTAGAAGTGGTTCTGCAACTTCCTGCCATGAGAATAGAAACAAGAAAGTGAAGGCTGCAGTTGGTTATAGCTGCCTTAAGTTTTTAATTCTATGGTGTAGATTAATTATTGCAAAAAGTTCCTGAACTGGCGTCTTGTAGAGTGCAAACTGGCCATGTGTGCTGGCTTTCTTCCATGTTCTAGCTAATAAATCACATGCAAGGACAGCAAAAAAATACATAAAATACTTTTCTAATGTTGCTTCTTTATGTATGCAATTGCCTTACTTGTCCTGGGGATTATTCTGTGATTCCTAACAGGAGCGAGAGAAGGGGCTGCTGCATTTGCGTTAGATGCATGAACATTCCCCTGCCCCAACGGATAAAAAAGCTTCTTCTAACTATTTTTTCTAATCTTTGAAAAACAAACAAAAAAACCTTAGAACTCTGGCTGACTTGACATTTGTAGCTTGACCCTAAGGCTTTCTTCAAGTGATGGCCACCTCTGAGTTTTAGATATGGTTTTGTGCTTGTGTTACTTTAAATCTGAAAAAAACCCCTCTGCAAACATCAAGCTTTACAAGTGTTCTCATTTTAATCTTTTAACTTAATGCATCTTCCATCCACACGTGTTATTTGAGTATAGGTATGTAAACTGATAAGGCCTGAAAACATAAATTCTGTCCCATTACTTTGGGAAGTGCGCTACACCAGAGAGTTCAAAGTAAGAGAGCAAGCGTAATTGAGTTGATGTAGCTTATTTCAATGTCTTTGTGTGAGGCCCAGGGTTATTTATTTTGTATGCACGGTAACAGTTCACATTGTTTCTATCTCCAAATGCCGTCCTAAGCATCTGTGAGCAGCATTCTTTTCCCAAATTATTACACTCTTTGTGAGCCAAGAAGCCAAAATTAAACTGCTATTTTAGACCAAGAGGCAAACTAGCTGAGAACTTCACTTTCTTGAAGAAATACAATGGGTCATTCAACAACTGTAGTGATATTTGACCATAAATAAGAGCACAAAGATGAAGGAAACATACATTTCTAGTCACTACAGAACAATTTATCTCTTGAAAAGAAAAGAATATGGCAAATCCAAGACAAATTAAGAGATGGCACAACAAGCAAAGTAATTTATACATCAGAGGAAAGGTGCTAAATAATCCAAGACTTTATCAAGTTAAACTAAAATCAATAAACTGCTGCACAGAATCCTTTGAATTTCTTTGAAGTCAGGGTTGATTTAGTTTGTTTTGTTGCATTATGGGGATGAATCAAACTGCTCTGCATCTGCTGTAAACACAGGCTTTTGAACTATTTTACTTGTTTCAATTTGCAACCTGTTAAAAAATCATTCCTAAAAGGTTAATTTAAAACATTCTGAAGGTGAATAAGAAGTCAGCATAAAAGGCTTCCAAAGCAGGCCATGCTGTGGCCCTTCATTTAGCTATTTACATGCAAGCTATACAAGCTTAGACTTTCTTGCATATAGCACACATTTATTTTATTGTAGCATTAAAAAACAATAAAAGCCAGTGTGCTATAATCAGATGGAAAACCTATTCTTGCTCCCTATAAAACTCATCTTCTACCTAAAGAAGGCAGATACATAATGCAGAGCTACCTTAGCTATCACGTATACTTATCTACCATATTTTTATTTTTCATCTAAAAATTATGCTTGAATGAAATTTGAGGATTGGTCCAGAATTTTTGGCTGCGAGACATCTGATAATGCCTGATAAATGTTTGATGCACATGCACAAATGATCTCAACTATGTAAATCCAATGGCCCTAGGATAGGGAGGACATAGCACACATGTTCTGTACAGCTGATCTGGCATATGTATTGCTACCAACCTGCTACACCGGTAACAAGTTTAGTTTACTGCACCTAAACAAGTTCACATGCATGCTTTTTTGGGAGGGGTAAAAACTTGGTTGGGATGGGAACTTTGAGATGATCACAAAGTAATTTGCCATATTTGCATTTACTCAAGACTGGACTACATAAAGTATCATACCCAACTAGAACTTAGATTGGCCAATTCTGTGAAAGAGAAAAATATGTTTCTATAAATACATTAGCAACAAAAGGAGAGCCAAAGAGAATCTCCATCCTTTACTGGATGCAGGGGGAACCACAGTGACAAAGGATGAGGAAAAGGCTGAGGTACTTAATGCCTTCTTTGCCACAGTCTTTAATAGTACGACCAGTTGTTCTCAGGGTAGCCAGCTTCCTGAGCTGGAAGACAGGGATGGAAGGCAGAATGAAGTCCCTGTAATCCAAGGGGGAATGGTTAGAGACCTGCTACACCACATACACACACACAAGTCTATGGGGCCGGATGGGATCCACCCAAGGGTACTGAGGGACCTGGCGGATGTGCTCACCAAGCCACTTTGCAGCATTTATAAGCAGTCCTGGCTAACCAGGGACATCCCAGACGATGGGAGGCTTGCCAGTGTGATGCCCATCTACAAGAAGGGCCAGAAGGAAGATCCAGGGAGCTACAGGCCTTGTCAGCCTGACCTTGGTGCCAGGGAAGGTTATGGAGCATATCATCCTTAGTGTCATCATATGGCACGTACAGGACAACCAGGTGATCTGCCTGACCTTGGTGCCAGGGAAGTTCATGGAGCATATCATCCTTAGTGCCATCATATGGCACGTACAGGACAACCAGGTGATCAGGCCCAGTCAGCATGGGTTTATGAAAGACAGGTCCTGCTTGACCAACCTGATCTCCTCCTATGACAGGGTGACTCACTTAGTGGATGAGGGAAAGGCTGTGGATGTACAGTCTTTAATAGTACGACCAGTTGTTCTCAGGGTAGCCAGCTTCCTGAGCTGGAAGACAGGGATGGAAGGCAGAATGAAGTCCCTGTAATCCAAGGGGGAATGGTTAGAGACCTGCTACACCACATAGACACACACAAGTCTATGGGGCCGGATGGGATCCACCCAAGGGTACTAAGGGACCTGGGGGATGTGCTCACCAACTGGATGATCCCAGAGAGTTGTGGCGAATGGAGTTAAAACCAGTTGGAGGCCAGTCACAAGTCGTGTTCCCAAGGGCTCAGTGTTGGGGCTAGTTCTATTTAACATCTTTATCAATGACCTGAATGAGGGGACTGAGTGCACCATCAGCAAGTTTGCAGATGACACCAAACTGGGTGGGAGTGTTGATCTGCTTAAGGGAAGGAAGGCTCTACAGAGGGATCTGGACAGGCTGGATCAATGGGCTGAGGCCAACTGTATGAGGTCCAACAAGGCCAAGTTCTGGGTCTGCACTTGCGTCACAACAACCCCATGCAATGCTACAGGCTTGGGGGAAAGAGGCTAGGAAAGTGGGGGAGAGTAAAAC